AGTATAGAGAATAACTACTTTTGCTGACTCTCAGAAACAGATTTCAAGAGACTAATTTCTGTGTTTGGGGCTTTATTTCGAGAATATTTAGAAAAAAAATTTTAAACATGAAAATGGAGTCACTGGCAAAGCACTTTCCATCCAGAATTCTTCACCAATATTTCTAGCATTGGTGTGACTCTAGCATGATCCTGGAGCGTATTATAAATTCTAGTCAAGGAAAAGACTCGAAAAGTGAAATGCATTTTGAACATCAGGGTTCTATCAAATTACCTCAGTTTGAGTTTAATTGCCAGAGGCTGAGTGCCATGGAGATGACTGTAATTAGCAAAGTTGTAAAATATTCTGAAAGCCAACAGGAGGTTGGAGTGCATGAATGAAAGTTCCATGTCCTTCCTGACTTATGACAATGTGGCTCTCCTGAAAACGCAAACTTTGGCTGTTATACTTTCAGGGATGACTGAAGCTAAACTGCGAAAACCTAGGCAAACAGCTTCAAATTGGAATAGACTGACCAAATTTTAAATACACTATCAGGCTAGCCAGGTGTGCTTTCATCTTTACATAAGAAATAAGTTTCCCTTCAATCTAACGGAACTGACTTCTCAACTGTTAACTACTCAAATATACCCAACCCTCAGAATTTCCTATAACCAAGTCTTTCCCCTGGTCTTCTTCATATTCACTGTTTTGCAATCAGTGTGTTGGGACATTAAATTAAAAAGCACATCTCAATATGTTCTAAATGGGAAACAAAGAAATGGCATATGTGTATACAGAAGGGTTACATTTAAAGAACAGGACAAATGAACTAAAGTCTTACAAGCTATTTAGTGTATTTCATAAGATTAGCCCTTCCAACTTAACCTTGCTCAAGTTACTTAATTTCTTTATGCCTTAAATTCTTCATGAATAAAATGGGATTATATAATATAAGGTTGCTAGGAGGATTTAATGAGCACAAAGCTTAGCCCAGGGACTAGCACTTGGCAAGCTCTCAATAAATATTAGGTACTGATTTCAACATTTTGACTAGATCAACCTAGATTTTAAGTATTTGAGCTCCATGGGACTACTGTGATTTAACTGAACATTAACTATTGGGAAGAACTTCAATCTACAATAAAATACTAGCCAAATATTAAAGATATTCTAACAGAATATGAATTAAATAGTATGAAAAGTGATGTGAATAAATGTATAATTCCATGGATGGATGAGGAGGAGGGAAAAAATGTTTCTAATTAATATAGTTTCAAGATTAGAATTCTGGACTAGATAATTAGGACCTCTAGAGGAGTTTCTGTTTGCTTGTTTTAATCTCCAAAAGCTTTCTGAACCAAAAATCTTATAAAGGCATATGCATATATAGGTATAATATATATTTTTTAACTCCTCAAAAATTGTCTGATGGTTTGATTGATTACATTAATTTTACCTTATATAAATTCTTTCTTTATAATTTTCAAGTACCTCAAGATATTAAAATAAAAATTAGAAAGCAATTTAAGAACATAAAACATGCCACTTATAAAGATTCAGATGCTACCATTAGCAGTGAGTACTTGTAATTTATTAATCTGTTTTCTCAACATATTAGTATTTTTAAAAGTCTGAGCAACGACTGTGTAACTATATCTTGCTGAGCCTCACAGTTTCTCAGAGGTGACTCAAGGGCAGCATTGAAGGGTGAGAAGAATGGGTGGGTTTCTGGGTCTTTCATAATTCCCCCTTTTTCTACTGCCATTCAACCACAGCTCCAGTTTTATCAATTTTATCTGTGGTGATAATTTTTCTTAAGGAAAAAAATTGTTTTACTCCTGTTGAAGGTTTGAAAGCTTTAAATATTACCATGAAATTTATCTATAACAACTAGAATTCAAAAGATGTCATTAAAGCCCTCAACTGAAATAGCAAAGGCATATTTATTATTGCAAAGAAGAGTACTAAAATGAGAAATTAACTAAAATAGGGTGGTAGAGGAAAGGATAAAAGGAAAGAAATACTTAGTTTTATTCACTTGTTCACAGCAAGAAAGTAAAAGATAATGTCTAGAGTATTAAGTAATTAAGAAAATTACATAACATAATAGTTCTAAAATTAGCCACTGGACTACAAATGCAAACCTTTGTAATATCGCAAAAGTTATACAGTAAAAGTAAAGTGAACCATAATGATTTTTTAAAACAGCAAGAACATAAAGTATAATTAATTTCAAAGAACTAGATTCAAACATAGCTGTCACATCAATAAATATAAATGGGCTAGATTCATATCTTTAAGAAAGGAAAGAAAATAAAAGGATGAACAAAGGTCTATAAGGCAAATGTATAAAGGGAAGAGAAAAAGGAAGAAAAGAAGGAAGAAAAAAGAAGGAAGAATGGAAAGAGAGAAGGAAGGAGGGAAAGAAGGAAGGAAAAAAATGAGCTGTAGCCTTACTATCAGGACAGGTTGAATTCATGTCATAAAACACGAAATGGGACAAAAAGTCACTATATAATATTGAAAGTAGATATTCACAGTGAAGATCAAAAAAATGTCAAGATTGGCAAAGCACCAAAATATATAGCATCAATATTCACAAAGCAAAAACTATAGGAATTATAAAGAAAATTACAAAAGTAATAGAATTTATTTCACCTCTTTTAGTCCTTAACAGATTAAGAAGGAAAAATAAAACATATAAGAGTAATATAGAAGATTTAAATGACATAATAAAGTAGGACTAACTAAAATAGATCAAATTCTGTTCCCCGAAATAAAAATAGCAACTTATTTTTACATAGAAACCTCATTAAAAAAAGACCATTAGGCTACAGTGAAAATCATAACTAATTCCAAAAAGTTGAAATAATACAGGCAACATTCTCTGATCACAATGCAATGAAACTGAAAATCAATTATAAAACCAAAAATAAAAATATGCTTACTATTTGGGTGACTTAGTGCAAGTTATCTATCTTATTTATTTATTTATATCTATCAATAAGAGCTTTTATTGCATCAAATGCAAACTAAAAATAATACTTAAATCACGGGGTCATTTTGAAAATTTTACGAATTTTAAAGTATTGTGAAAGTATAAAACCTTATCCCAAAAGAATTATCTTCCTTCTCACATGAGAAGTGATTTAATTTGGCAGCTCCAAAGATTTAAACAACTTGATCTATGCTGTTTACTTGTGGCTAATTAAGTTAATTAACTTAAATTAAATTAAAAATTTAGCACTTCAAAACTAGTCTTATTTAAAGTGCCCATTAGATACATGTGACTAGTGGCTACCATCTTGGACATCAGAATATTTCCATCATTACAAACAGTTCTATTGGAGAGTCCTAGCCTTTGTTGGGAAAATCAACAAAATATCTAGAAGTTCATGAGAATTATTTAAATTTTACTTCAGCAATTAACAGGGTCCTTCTAGTGAGAGTCTTGGGTGATTTTTTTTTCCCACTTCTCTTCCTAATTATACTAAAAGATCATCCTCTCACTTAATATAATCTGAATACATTAAGGTGCTAATTGAATATGCTGAGTAAGCTGTGCATACTAATTGTCACTAATAAGTGTAATGCTGATTGCTTAAGCCTGTAACAGCTACTCACCTACACAGTGGTTCAAGTCAACGTGATAGTCCTCATTCTTCATTAGGAAAATGTGTTTCATTAAGTTGACATCATTCTCTGTGAGCCCAGAGGATTTTCACCACGGGTAGGCCTCTTAATGTTCCAAAGTGTACCATATGTGAATCCTGAATAAATTGCTCAGGCAGCTGAAGGTAACTCTTATACCCACCCTTTCCTCAGTGATGCTTAGAGCATTTCATTTTGGTAAGCTTCAATCGGTATTAAGTGCCTCTATGTCTACTACATTTCTTCCTTCATTAAGTATATTTTTAAACTTCTAATCCCACTAGCCTTGTGATCCTGGGCAGTTCAGAGTCACTCTGGGCTTCAGATTCTCCTTTAAATTAGGGAGTGGAAGGGGATGAGAAAATGGCAACCTAATTACAGGTTTATGTCTCTTTTCCTTCCCAGTTGAGAAAACTCTACTTAAAAAATATTAGAGACTAGACCTTAACTGTTCTCACCACACACAAAAAAATAATTATGTGATGCGATAGAGGTGTAAGCTAACACAATGGTAATCGTATTGCAATATATAAATGTATCAAATCAACATTTACATCTTTAACTTACACAATGTTATATGTCAATTATATCTCAATTGAAAAATTAGGGCTTACCTGGGGAGATTTGAGAGGTCACAAATATACCTAAGAATTGATTTTTTAAAAATACCAAACCAATGAGCACTGAATAAGACATTTAGTATAAAAATAAGGGGAGAAATCTTAATTCATGGCAACAAAAATTATAATATAACCAAGGATAAGCAAAATCAAAATAACCTTTATTTTTAAAAATCATAATATTTAGAAGAAGGTATAGCTCCAATGGCAGAGCACATGCTCAGCATGCATGAAGTCCTGGGTTCAATCCCCAGGACCTCCTCTAAAAAATTAAATAAATAAATCTAATTACCTCCCCTCCCCACAAAAAATCATAATACTTTATCAAAGGACAGCATGTGAAATGTGAGTAAATAAGGCAAAATAAAAACAGTAATGCTTCCCAAATTAATATATAAATCTAATGCAATTATAAACAAAATCCCATTGGTTTTCTTTAACTAGATGAAATATGTTTAACATTTGTGTGGAAAAATAAAGGTATGAAGTCTGTGAAGAAATTTTCAATAATGAAAATTAATTCATTCTTAAAAATTAACTGGGTATATATCCTATATATTATAAAAATGCTTGAAAGGAAGTTTTAATGGAATTGGATAGCATCTCTGATTGTGAGTAAAATAACTTACTTTTACAAATTAAAAAAGAACACACAATTACATAACACATTGCTAGGGCCCCTCCCAGCATCTTGGAAGAAATTTAAGCAAGTGAGGGTCTTGGAGACTGAGTTTCATAAGCTTCATAGTGGATCAGCCTCCGTGGAGAAGATAATATATTTTCACATTGTCAAACTTGTCCATTGATAAAATCTGCTTACTCTCTGCTCTTCCATCCTTAGATTTATGTTCCATTATTAATACTCAAAAGCCCAGTTACCAACTAGCAGTTGGCTGATATACCAACTAACAGTTTCGCACTTTCTTGAAAGGAAGCCAAGTCCTTTAGAATTTGATTTTATTTTTATACCACACAGTATTTCCAAGAGGCAAGAGATCATTCAAAAAAAGAAGACTTGGCCTTCGTTCTGGCTAAGGGCAGGGTCACCTGGTTTGAGGCTCACTGGTAGAAGGGAGCACAGAGTCCCTGCCTAGAAGGGGCAGTTGTGTTGGGACAAGGAGAAAGGGATGTGTGACGGTGACAGGTCAGTGTGGGCAGGAAAGGATAAAAATGGTCAGCCACACGAGGTGACTTAGGCAGAGGTGGAGGTTCCAGAGGGGGATAAGCAGTTTCAGGTTCACAGTTAGCGGCTCGACCTGAGAGATCAAAATGCAGAAATAGTGGTTAGTGGGTATGTCTGGCTCCTTGGGGGAGGCTACTTCCCAGCCCACTCCAAGTCTCATGTTCTGGGAAGGGCTTAATCTGGGTCCAGGCAACCAGAGCATCCCTGAAACAAAAGATTGAATGGTCTGTAACTGGAGTCCCCCATCCTGTCTTCAGTCACTCTGGGTGGCTCCTCCCTCCCGGCAGGATGCTGATGCAAAAAGGGGACCTGGGAAAAGACCTCATTCCCCTACCTGCCTACCAGCCCAGAGCAACACAGATGCCCTGCAAACCATTCTGAAAGCTGTGGAGGAGACTCGGGAGTTGTCTTGATAAGAGCCACAAAGAGCAAGAAGCATGAATATTATCTCCGTGGGGGAAACCGTGACAACCCTACAAGGGAGAGTACGCTGTGTTCAAGGAGGCATCAGGGTTTGAAAGCAACTTTATCCAGATCAACAAAAGAGAAGTGAGCAGTATGCACATCCAAGTGCGAATGGTGACTGGGGGTCACATGCACCTGCCCTGCCTCCCACTCCCTGAGGTCATGCTGCTGGCCGCACCAACTGCAAGCTGGGAAAAGAGCCCCCAGGGAAAGGCTGCGAGCCTTAGAAGACCTTGCAGCTGAGCAGGCTGCTTCTGTGGAAGTCTGCAATGATATCCATTCATGGCCATGAAAAACAGCCGTGCCTCAAGCTTGCCACTGGATGCTCTTTTACCTTCAGTCTTTTGTCCCTTTAGAAGCACAATATCTCTTCATTAATTGGGAAAAAAACGTGTTTACCTCCTGAGCCCAGCAGTGGTGGGTTACACTAGTCCCCAGACCATCCCATCTGGGGCAATAATGGCTCTACCTGTGCTTGAGGCACAAACGCCTAGCAGTCCTCTCAAAAACTGGGGAGGAGACAATCTCGGAGTAGTCCGGGGTCTTCCAGGAGCCCCAGAAGCCCCTCAAGGCCCATTTAACCACAGGATACTAGAGGCTCTGAAAACAGGAAACCCAGCAGGATCGGCTCTTTATTGGAGAACCTCAAAGCCGCCATATTGTGCATGATTTGGGGGTGGACATCATGTCAAAGACTGGAAGCAGCATGAGGTCCCATGCAGCCAGCAGAAGGTGACAAGGGACAGAGATCACTAGTACCGTGACATCTGAGATCAAGAAGACTTTTGAAGCCCATCAAAAGGAGCCAGAGCATGGGGACCAAGCTATTTCCAGCTCAGCTTCTTCAGTTTTAAATAAATAAAGCCCTGGGGTCTCAGAATGGAGTGCTATCTTTTTAAATATTGACATCTTTCATAGCACGGTGGTGACCTCGCAGTGGATTCTGTGACATCACCTCTGCTTCAGCCTGACACCCCAGCCTTCAGGAGAGCAGAGCCCCACCTCACAGCCATGTTCAACAGGGCCAGTGCAAGGTTCCATCCGCCTCCAGCACTGTCTGCCTTTGTTTCTCCAGGCCAGGGCTGAAAGCCATCCTGCGGGCTGGGGAGCACCAGGCACCTCCCTCTCCCATTCCTCTTCTTCCCTCTGAAGGCCCCTGAACATAAAGTTAAATCCAGCCCATCAATTAAGCAAAAACAGGATGCATATCCCCTCCAGATATTTAGGGAAGGACGAGGGCACAGCAGCATTTGTTGGCAATCAGAATAGGAAAGGCTTCCATCCAGACTTAGCAATTCCACTTTGAGGTTATGCAACCTGGAGAAAAGACTCTCGCATGTGCGCTTTGCTTTAGGAGACAACTGTAAGAATGTTTGTAGCAAAACAGTGTATAAGAGTAAAACATTAGAAATAGCCCAAATTGTCCATCAACCGGAAAACTGATCAAAGATAGCATACGGTCGGGTACCGTTATAGTAGTGGCAGCTACGTCGGCATGCGTGAACCTCACTGAGTGTTGGAAGCAAGTCACCTAAAGCATGTGTGTTGTAGTTCCATTTCCAGAACAGTTCAAAAGCAAGACCATGTTGTTTAGAGAGTATACTTGGCAAAATTAGAGGAACACAACTACGTCTCAGTTGGAAAGGGGAGAATGTCATCAGAGTTGTGCATACAAGGGTTTTAATAGTGCTGGGAATTGCCCCTCATAAACAAGGTGGCAGGCATGCAAATATTTTTTAAGCATTGTCACATTTTGACATTTCTGAAATCAGGAGGACCTTAAGAGATGTAGTTGTCACTGTCATAGAAATCATTATTTTCTTCTAGTAATACTATATTCAAGGTATGTCAAAAACAGAAGTCTGAAAAAAATTTACAATAAATACAAAATGCAAATTCAGAGGGACAAGAAATGGTGTGTCCGTAGGTCATGGTCTTAGACTTTCATTTAAACTGAAACATCTGCTTTTATTCCTCTGAACGTGACACATCTCATATCAAAGAGATTCATCAAAAGTCTTTCCCAAGTTATTTACAGCCTTGGATAGAGGCTTAAGGGTAATCTTCAAAGACATTTTTGTGTATTCTTTTGGCACGAGTGGATAAATAAGTAGTTGAAATATTGCTCATAGTTCTATCAGACTTACTAAAAATCTAAGCTTAATAAAAGAATTCTGAGCAGAGTGATCAAGTATTTACTAGAAAAATGCGAACCTGGTGACATCCAACTGAAGGTCATTTTTTTTTTTTTTCAGAACATCACACACTGCCCGTCAGGTGTAAGTGAATTTCTGTGTTCCTAAGAACCTTCATTTCCTTGGCCACTATCCTACATTACAGTAAAGTTCTCCTATAAAATATGAATAAAGCAATTTTATCCAAAGATCCTTTTGCACACCAGGGTTAAAGGAAAAGAAGTAGAAGGGTTTTTCTTTAGCTTCAAGCCAATGTGTTGTTTAATGTCAACAAGATAAGCTAAAATCTCATTCCATTTAATACCAATTCAAGTATAAAGACGCACTTTCTGGTGTTTTTAGGTCTGCTTTTCATTTACGGGAGAGATCCCTGGAGTAGTGGAAAGCAATTCTTCATACATTATTTAAAAAGATTAAAGAGAAGTATAGAATTGGTGAAGAGGGATAAAATTGGGAAAATACAAGTGGGAGAAAAGAGCCAGAAATGTTCTTTGTCCATAGATGTGTAAGAAAAGAAAAAAGACACCAGAGCAAAGCATATTGAAAGCTCGCTGAGAAACACTCAGCTGAACTGCTGAAATAAACTAAAGAATTAGCTTGATTTTTCATAAAAGAATTGTTGATTTCCATTCAACAATAACCTGGACACAAAGTTGATACTTTCATTCGCATGACCTATATCTCTGCACTCCTTAAATACAGTCATGGCAAGTAAACATACAGGTGAGCTGCTTAACTTCAAAATTAACTTGTTTTTAAAATCACAGTGGGTATAATTGTGGAAAAAAGGTGTTACCTTCTGTCTATAAGAAGTAGCCTGGTCACCTGCAGAAGGAAGTAATATCACCCGGAAATAAGACAGACAGACATGCCAGTCACGTCACCAGCCTCATGTGAGCCTGGAAAAGTCTGAACACCAGATTTTTTTTTTAATTGAAGTGTAAGCAATTTACAACGTTGCATTAGTTTCTGATGTACAGCAAAGTGATTCTGTTATAAATATATATATATTATTTTTCATATTCTTTTCCTTTATAATTTATCATAAGACATTGAATATAGTTCTTTGTGCTATACAGTAGGACCCTGTTGTTTATCTCTTTTATATGAAGTAGTTTGTATCTGTTAATTCCAAACTCCTAATTTATCATTCCCCCTTCCTTTCCCCTTCGGTAACCATAAGTTTGTCTTCTATGTCTGTGAGTCTTCTTCTGTTTTGTAAATAAGTTTGTTTGTATCATTTTTTTCAGATTCCATAGGTAAGTGGTATCATATGATATTTGTCTTTCTCTGTCTGACATAATTTCACTTAGTATGATCAGCTCCAAATCCATCCATGTTGCTACAAATCCAACCACCAGATTTTATAGAAAGAACTAGCCCACAGTGTAGGAAGAGAGCAGTCACTCAGAATCCAATCCAGCTTCAGCAAAAAGGTTCTCCTACCATCCCGAATCAGAAAGTATTTATTTATCTCTTTTCTCAGAGATCACAGCAGTGACTAAGACTCAGCTGGTCTCCGGGTCTCTGTGCCTCCAATCTCTGCTACTACATGCCTCTGCTCACTCTCTCTTAGCCGGTTTCCCCTCCTCCACAGTTTCTACTTGGACCTCTCATGTGCTGCCTCCTTTCAGATGTTAAGCCCCATTATAAAACTGCTGCCAAATCACTAACTGTCTTTCTGCATAAATATAAAGCTTCCATTGGTCAAAGATTCACACGAGGACAACTTATAGGGTTTTAGCTAGGCTATTGACTGACTGCCATCACATTCAACGCCCTCTCTTGGTCAGATGAGCCCTGGATGGGGCAATGCTGCATGATGGAGGCTTCCGGCCTTGTGTAGGGGTGACCTTTCAGTGGGGAATTCTGCATGAGGCTTGGCCTGGTCAGTGGAATAGATACAACATGCACAGCAACTTCCATCACACAATTTCATATCCTAGTATTTTCTGGGGCTCATTATACAAAACATTAATCAGTTTTTAAGGCTTAATTCTAGATTAGATTTTTCTTCTTTTACTGTTTTATTCCAGGTCTATTGAACGTCTTTGTCAAATAAAGTAGTACATTAGGTATTGGACATGAAGGATGGGAAATACAACATTCTAGCAAAAAAAAAGATATTGAAACAACAAAAACTTGAAAGAAAAAGACAGAGGAAAAAATGCTGAGCATGGGGGGACAGTGGAGGGTGATAGATGAGAAACACGTTAGAGTCAGGCAGACCTGGGTTCAAATTCTTTGACATTCCCTAGCTGTGGATTTTGGATAAATTGCTTAATGTCCCTGACCTTTAGTATCTTTTCTATAAAACAAATATAATAATAGACAGACATCAGCTTGGCACTTGCCACTATGAGATCCTGGGCTATCACATTTACGTAGAATTTTAAAATTATGTTTTGTAAAAAGGGGGAAAAATGCCTTAGATCTTGGCCAAGTCCAAAGGGATAATGGGGAACTGTTTCAGCAAAACACAAAGACCCTTTCTTTTCTTGGGAAAATATTTTATTACTTGTTACCTACAGCCTATGCCTGTCTGAGATCCAATCAGTGAGCCAGTACCAGCTCCTCTGTGCCACATGGCGTCCGTCCCTGGTGGTGAATTCGTCGGTCTCTCCTTGCTTACCAACAACTGCAGGGCGCTCAGAACACATGGTTAGACCTGCAGTCAGTAAGTATTCAGGAGCCATCTGAAGGTGTGCAGAAAAGGCAATATTAAATATCCCATTTACTCATCTACATTTCCTGGCCCTTTTATTGGACAAAAACACATTCTAGTTCTGGAGAATTAAATGTGAACAGAAGTGACACACATCACTTCTGGGTTGAGGTAGCAAAAAGTTCACGTGCTTTCTCTCTGCCTTGGTGACTGGCAAACATCCAGTGGGAATAAATCTTTTTGAAGCTAAGCCACAGCAATTTCAGGCTTAATTTGTTACTGAAAAATAATCTGGCTTCTAGTGACTCATACAGAGTGGCTTTCAGTACTACAGAAAATCATTAAACTGATCCCAATAAAGATGCTCTTTGAATTCCAGGAGGCAGAGATTATAAATCTTTTTGTCACCTCACCTAAGAGTACCAGCCTCAGTTCCCTTTTTTAGTTGCTGCAATTCCACGGACAACAGAGGCTGGACCACAGATGGCAAGGCATCCATCCACACCAAAATGAAGACAGAAGACAGCGTGCCTCAGCTTCCGCAAACGGTCGAGTTTAATAACACATTAATACTCTTAATGCCAAGTTCCATTTTAGCCAAAGTAATTGTCCTTTACTTTTATAAGATTACTTTTCTGTGCAGCAGTCCCATAATAATGACGGATAAAAGCTAATGACTGATTAGCTATTGAAAGCTAACAATTATGGAGCACTCCCAGTTCTAAGCACTGGGCATATAAGCAGCCCCGTTAGGTTGGTATGTTATCATTTTCATTCTCAAGATCAAGAAGCTGAGGCACAGTGATCTCTCATGGTTTGGAAGAGACAAATTGGTTCATGGTTAAGTCAGAAAAGAATTATCTAGCATCTGGTCCACAAAGAAAAACATTTACAAAGTAGTTGGGATGGTGAAATAGCATAACATACATGAAGTGCTCTGTAAAAAAATCTCATCCACAGTAAACACACAACAGGTGCTTGCAATGATCATCATTATACTGATAATGATGTGTGGGAATGCCACCAAGTCATCCTTGAGCTTCCCAGAGAGAAATCGGTATGATGTCGCCACGTGGGCACTGTGGTCTGTGCTGAACTGATACGAACCGATACAATTCCAAAGACAAGAACTAAACCTCCAACCAAGATGAAGGAAAAAGCATCTGAGTAAAAGTGCTAGTAAGTTCTGTGCGAGGTAACACTTGGGCAGCTGGTAAATCTACTTCTCGTGTTCTTGTCACTAACTTAAACAA